TTATATAATATATTTCTTTTATTTATTTTATTTTATTTATCTCATATATTTATTATATTTTATTTATTTCATATATTATATTTATTTCTTTTATATCTTTGATAATTTTATATTTTTCATTTTATATAAATAGAAGACAATTTTTTTTAGCTTAATGGTATGTCTGACTTAATGTTTTATTAAATAGTTTAGTTTAATTTTTCTAACATAATTGTATAATACAGAGCGCTGACTGAGGCAGTACTCTATTATTATAGTTATTAAATAAATTATTAATTTATTGATACTCTTCTAAATCTAATTATCAAATTAAACCTTCTGCTTACCACCTATAAATATTGCTTCACTTATCACTCATAAGCTACTTAAAGAACTGACTATAACAATATTTTCATCATATAATTCGCTTAAATTTTCTATATTTTGCATAGAGATTTATTGTAGAAGAAAGTTCTTATTTTTAAAATCAATCCTTTCATTATCATTAATTTATCAAGATAATAATAGGTTTTAAAACAGTATATAGATGTGCTTGTATTGTAGATGAGGGACGAAACCCCTTAATAACAGTCAAAACTTAGACGAAACTATATTAAAATTATAATAAGAGATATGACGAAATCCATTCGATATGACGAAAGCCGAAACTGTCAAAACTATATTAAAAACATAGAAAAGGGTATGACGAAATTATTTTGAGGAGGTTTCGGCAGGCATCTATAGTTTGTATGAAAGACTTTATTAATGATAATTTGAACTAAAGTATTTAACTTTATTTCCTCTAACTGGTTGATATAACTTAAAAAATCAATTATATCTGAAGTAAAGTGGCTTAAATCTTTTAAGCATCTTGTAATCATCGAATCATCTGAAATTTCTTATAATATCATTTGAATTGAAATATTTGTTATGTTTTCACTATTGGAGAAAGAAATTATTGAAGAAATAATATAGAAAGCTTTGCTATCATTTACTTCCTCTTACCATAATTTTAAAAAGTTATTAAAGGTATCTCTTAAGTTTTAGAATAATACTTCATAAAAGAAAATTTTTAAAGTATACAGGACAGTTAGTCGATAATGGCGTATTTGTAAATATTATTTTTCAGTGATCACTTATTAATTTGTTATATATAAATAAGAGTGTTATAAATAAGATAAAGAGGTAATATAATTATTAAACTTATATTAAAAATCCTTTTAAAGATATTTCTAATTATAAAAACTATTTAATATAAAATATATAACTATATTTAAGAATCTTATGATAGAAAGTAGATTAATATTTAGATAAGTTAAATATATGAAATAGAATGCTTAATTAAAAAATCTATTGCAATACTTTAACAATTACTTTAATATTTAGAAATTACTAAAAAAGTAAACTGTTTATTTATTTTATTTATGGGTATATTAAATATTTGATATAAATTTTAACTAAAGTATTTTTATTGATAAAGTTGTATTAAAAAGAAATAAAATTTTATATGTTCGTTATTTAGCTATAATTTGTAAACATTATATATAAATCAACTTATTTTTGTTGATTAAAGTGCCAAATATAATAGAAGTTTATCAGAATATATGGATATTCACCTAAAATATGTTAGTTCAAAAAAGTAGTTTTTATATGAGAGAAATGAGATACTATTTATCTGCTTTTACATTAGAAGGATTTGTTACTATTGATAAATTTAAAGAATAATATAATTGAAAAAGATTTGTTAATTTCATTCTTAATCAAATGGTAAATAATAATTTATAAAATTTATTTAATTTATTTTTTATATCATAATTAAATAAATTTATCTATTATTTTTTAGGTATTATAAAAGATAATGCTAGAATTTATTATAATAGTGAGTTAGTAGTATTAATAGAAGGATTAGGATGTCATGTTGTTTTTTTACCTTATTCATCTGATTATAATCCTATTTAAACTTCATTTTCAACTAATAAATTATGAATTAAATATAATCACGTTTTGTAATAATCCTATAAATGCATTGTTAGTTACATGTAGTTAAATAACTTCCCAAATAGCAAAATCATATTTTGAGGTGCCAATTTATGTTTAAAAATTTATTGTATTTTATAAAGTAAATAGAATTTTTTTTTAAAAAAAAAAAATAATAAATAAATAATAATTTTTTAAAGTGTGAAAAAATGATTATATTTTATTGTATTTAATAAAATTTTTTGTTCATTTTTGTATTAATTAAAAAATATTTTTTTATAAATTGATTTTTCTTTTCGATTTGAATTAAATAATAATATATACAAAAAAAAAGTTAATTAATAAATAAAAAATGTGTGTGTGTATATATTGATGTCTATTTTCATTTTTATGATTTTATTGTTACAAAATAATTATTAAGTAAAATTTATTTGTTCAAGTAAAATTTAAGAATTATTGGATTGCATAAAGCGCAGTATGAAAATATAATCAAAAATAGCATTTGAATTTAAAATTGTACTATAATATTATACTGTATATTGAATATTTCAATGGCCAATTAAATATATTGTTCCATTTAATTTACATTTGCTAAATTATAAATAGGCGTACATAGTTTTTAGGGTAGATTAATTATTTAAACGATATGATTTTCATTTACTTTTTAATAAATGTCCTTTGCGTGATATATTATATTCGTTTTTAATTTTCTATAAAGGATAAACAATCGTTATTAAATTAATTTTTACAACTTAAAATAGTGAGGGATGATCTATTTACTTTTAAAAAATATTTCTTGGAGTTTTATGTAATAGTTAACAAGCGATAGAAGAAAAATATGTCATTAGTAAAATTAATTATATTTGAAATCTGTCGCTTACTAATGATTCCAAATTTATGCAAACTAACATCCTCCCTTTGACGAATAATCGTACGACATACTTAACTGTTAAATTAACCTTTTCTTTACTGGTGGTTCTTTTTGACATTTACTAAATAAATATGCGAATGGAAGATCCTTAATATTTTTGAAACTAAACAAATCATTTCGCATCACATTTTTTGACGTAATGATTGGTTTATTAGTTTTTAACATTTGGTTCACGTAAATCAATAGATGCATTTAGAGATGATATAAAAGAATGATGTTTCATTCCACCTTTTTTTTTTCATAAATATCATTCTTTCTTTTTAATCAAATATAATTTTGTAACACTCCTTTCCTTTTCAAATTACTAATTTTTTTAAATCATGATCGGAAGTGCTAAATTTGCGACTATTTTCGCTGGTATTTTAACCTTTTTGGGCGCTATTGGACCCACTTTAATCACCGCTTCACCGATGCCTAATCCCATTCATGCTTCTCGAGATGATTCACATTTAATAGCTCGTGATTCATTGGATAAACGCGCTAAAATCGGTAAGTAAACGAAAAAAAAACTTATTATTTTCTTTAAAAAATAAAAAAAAAGTTTTTAATTCATTTAATCATTTGATTACAGTTGGCTCTGATTGCGTTGTAATCTAATTACCAACTTAACGTAAATCTCCTCCTAGTTACTTTCGCATTCCTTTACCTTGCTTTCTTAGTAATTTATTTTAAAATCGTTAAAATCGTTAATGACAAAAATTTTATCACATAACATATTAATAGTGATTATTAAAATAATTTTGCAAGTAAAAATTAAATAAACAGTATAAAAATAATAATATCAAATAAAAAGGTTCAATTATCATTTTAAATAAATATAACGTATTGACTGGAATTTAAACGAATTCAAGATTAATTATCTGCGATAATTGAAGATAGTAATTAAAGCATATAAATTTAAAATTATAATTTAAGTTGTAGTTAATTAAAACTTTGTAAATTTATTTATTTTTTTATTTTTAAGCGTACTGAATATAAAATACCTTTTATTTATAAATGAATTGTAAGATTCTGAACTAAATTGTTAACTTTTTTTTTTTTTTTAATGAAGCATGTCATTCATAAGTTAATGCTGTTTATAAATATGAACTTTTAATTATTATAGTTATAATATCTTAAAGAAGTTTCTTAATTATTCATCTGTTCCTATAGTGAACAATGTGATTAAAAACACATTTTCGAAATTATGCTGTTTATAATTCTTTAATAACGTGCGCTTATCTTTCATATATTTATCTCTAGTGAATTGGAAAACTTATAAAAAACGAGCTGTAAAATATAAAATTTCCGAGATTATTATATTGTAACAATCTATTTATCCGAATTATCAGGAAGTGAAATAATTAAATTATTGGACTCTGAGGCTCTGAGAAAGAGTAAGTTGAGTAATATTAGACAAAATTTGAAGTTAAAAATTTTTTCTTTGGTGTAACCTTGACGTTAAATTTGAATATCTTTATTAAATAATGTCAAATGCACATCAAAGGTATGGAGAGTTAGTGACCGCAGCGATTAGAACGAATGAAATCTCTCGCAAAATCACGACTACACCTCACATAAATACTTCCGAGCTTTGACCTGAGACCGTTTTGATAAGTCGATCAGGTCTCAATCCCATCCGGTAATCGTCATACATGCCCCGTTCAAAATCTGATTTCATTACTATTGATGCCTTCTTGCTTCTTTATCAACTTCAACATCTCTACATTATCTGGGGAAGCTTTCTCTTAATAATGTTCGGACCTCCTGCTGTTAAGATGACTAGACGACGTTAACCAAGTAAGATATATTTACAATACTGGATTAACAGATGCGAGAGAATTACAACTTTAAAGAGCTTTATATGCTGATGTCTTCCTTGGATGTTGTAGCTCCCTCTACTTAACACCTACCATCAAAGTTTTATAGGGCAGAATTTGAATGATTTGAAAAGTTATGTAAATTATCATGTTTCACCACAAGGGATCGGTTGCCCAACGTGACGTCGGTTTTATCTAATAAATACATCCCCTTTCAAAAGTTGGGGATTTCAGCTCTAGTACTGTACGTACTATCAAATAAATATCAACTGATTTAATGAGTCATTCGCAGTTTAACTTTGGACAGATTAATCTGAGACGAGCAATTTCATTTATGGTTCGTTTTTACCTCATCATCATTTTTGCAACCATTAGTTATAAATACATAACGTTTGATTATATATGTATAAAAATAATATGGCAATTGATTTTTTTTAACTTAGCCTTACCCGAGAAACAATAACAATTTCTCTTTAAACGTAAATTTTATTCTACAAAGTTAGTTGATTTATTTAAAAACTGGCTTTATTTACTCCTCTTCTAAAAATGCTTGCCGGGTTCATCGAATAAATCAATGCCAATCCAAGGTTTGATCACGTTGTCAAACGTCAACAAAATTTTGAACTCGAAATTTTTTCTAATTAAAAACTTCTCAAAATATTAACTTTTGATTATAAATGCTCAGCAATAAGAAGGATACTATGTCCTTTATTTGCAGAGTTTTTATGAGAAGGATTCATCTATACATTTTTTTTTTTTTACATTTATTATTGTTCAAGAAGAATGACATTTTAGTTGAATAATACTGTATATTATCATTCATTCAATAAGAATACATTATCATTTAAATAAGAACATTTCGTTATAATTCTTCTTAAACGATTCACTATTATTTTAATTGAACGATTCAAGAAGAATAATTATTGACGTGAAAAAATGCAATAATTGTCTGTAAATATTCCACCTTCAAAAAAAGGGTTATTTATGAAAATAACTGGACAGTATATTGTCGACAAAAATAAAAAATCGTTAACCGAAGCTTATGGTTTTTTCCTACAAAGGATAATGCGGCTTATTTTATTTTTAACAAAAAAATTTTTTTTTTGGATATTAACTTTAATATAATTAGCATAATAAAAGAATTCTGAAAAGTCTATATTGTGAAAGTATTTGAGTCTCCAAATAATTTTTGACGATCATACTAACCAAAAATTTTGTTTTATTACAGCTTTAAACTTTATGTTAAGCTTAATGAACAGTGGTTTAATATATAGAACCTTTTTTTAAAAATTTTAGGCGGCTTTTCGATACCGGGGCGCAGCTACGAATCGGGTAAGTATTTTATTTTATACTTACTCGATTCGTAGCTACGCCACGGTACTGAAAAATACAGCCTAAAAATCAGTTATAAATAGTATCGGGGGTACAGCCCTGAATCGACTAAGTATTTTACATATTTAAATACTTACCCAGTTCGGAGCTACGCCCAGATACTAATTATTAATGGGAAGTGATAAAAGGGTTCATAAATTCAACAAACAATCTCCTAATTCTGATTCATATTATCCAGTTATCTAACGAAATTGTTCGAAATATAATTTTATTTTTTATTAATAAATTTTGCATTTTCAGTTGGCAGAAAAACGTTCATTGGATTATTCCAAGAGCTGATTCTGATGAAGATATTACGGATGGACTTGAAAACATTCATTTTTCATGAGAAAGTTTTATTTAGTCTAATATTTCTTGAAAAATCGAGTTATGTACATGATGCACGAAGGTGCGCTATACATTTGGTAAAGATTTTTTATATTAAGCGGTTTCATACTACATAGTTACTGTAAATGTTCAAAAATAATAAAATAGTAAAAAGATAAATTAAACCTTTCAACAGGAAATAAGATTTTTCTTTAGGGTTTCCAAAAAAAAAAAAAATGTATTTTATATCAGTTAAAATTATCAAATGAGAATTTGAAAAATTTTTGATGAATGAATTCATGGTTGCATTTACGTTTGGTGACTTGTCGATTTGGTGGAGATTATACTTTGCAAACAGCTTTCGTTTTATAATTCTTATAAAGGCTCGGATTAATTCGCCTACAGCATTAGAGTTGAATTTGAAAAGCTAGAAAATGACACAGCAAACTTTCTCGGTTAACAATAAATAATAAGGATTTGATAGTACAAAGTATACCATCTTGATATATTTAACATGTCATATTATTATTCACCTACAACAAATGTAGGGACTTTGCAACAAATTATATATAAAAACCTAAGTAAACATTCATCGTCTCTTAAATAAACTTCGTTTGCTTCAAGTAAGATTGAGAAAGAGTTTTGACGATGGGTCTTGACAACATAGGGGCTCGAAAATAAATATTCAATTGCAAAATATACAGCCGTCAATTTTTTTTTTTATTTTTGAAAATGTATTAATGTAATTTCGTAAAACTGGAATATATTGTATCAGTACTAGTATCCATTTTTCATAAAAAAAATGCTGAAAAGCTTCTACCATTTTATATGTTTATTTTTTGCGTGAATTAAATCAACAAAATACAATTTTTTGGTTGCTTCAGCTACTGGATGAAGTTTTGATATTTCCGACGATTTTATAGTCTTATACTTTCAAACTAGTTGCTTCATATTCCAATAATTTTTCAATTGATTATTTTGATTTCCTAATTCTTTTTTTTTTAAAAAATATTTATTTAAAATAAAATGTAAAAGTCAATATTCTATCGCATTATTTAAACTTCATACCTTGGTTGGATGTAATTCCAAAAAGCGGATGATGTTGCTATGAAAATTAACCTCCGGTTGAAATTTCAATCTAAATTATTATAAATACAAAAGTTTTTATACAAAATAGATCGAAATAAGCCCGAATACAATCTTTTATTTTGTAATTACCTCATCAACAGATTTTTAACTGTGGCATAGTTGAAGTTATGAAACGATTTTAAGCAAAATGTTGTTTGAACTTTTCCAATTTGCACGATAGACTTTTCCAAAGCTGCCAGTACCAATTTCTTGAAAATTGTTAAAATGTTTGTATTCGTAGTATTTAATATTTTTAATTGAGATAAATTTTTGAATCCAATTAATTCCCTCATTCGAATTTTGACAGCTTGCATGTTGATTTATTAAATATTTATATATCTTAAGAACTAAAATTCTTGGAGAAAAGCAAAAAAAAAAAATGCACGCGGTTAATCAAATTTCAAAGCCGCTGATAATTACATAAGTGTATGAAAACTTTTTTTTGAACGGTTTACATGAAAAATGATTAATTTAAAATAAAAACTGAACTATTTAAATTACTTCTGCTGATAAAATTATTCATTCATTATGATCTTATAAGAATCAAAGTAGCTAATTGTCTGTGCATTGAGAAAATTTTGGTCATGTGAGCGTTTCTCTGTCCGCCACGTGATTTAAGTCCAATAATTCGCTCAGGACTCACAACGGTCCCCGTTTCCTAGTAAATATTATATTTGAGTAAAGATTTATCATTTCCACTTCAGAATTAGAAGATAGCAGCTAAAACATTATATTTTCGGCGAACTGATCGTATAATTATGATGCATCGTAATGATTATTAAACTTCAAATAAAAAAAAATTAAATTAATTGAACGACAAACCCTTTCCATGAAAATTCGCTAATATTATACTAACTTAAAAGGTTAGATCGAGCGACAATTCACATTTCATTATTTTTCTCTTATTTTAGACGAGTTGGATGCATAGGTAAGTTATTTTTTTTTTTAGGTAATTTTTTCGCTTCAACTTTC